CCGCGCACTTCCCTAGCCTTCCAAACTACCCGACAGCCCTCAACCCTTCCCCCTTGTCACATTGTTGTCATCATCAACGCCCTCAAATCTTCGTTGTCTAGTCACTGACTCTATTGTCCAGACTCTCGTTACCTGTTGTCCAGTATTTCTGACCTCCCCCATCCGTACCCCCCCGCGGCACTTCCCTATCCTTCCAAACTATCCGACAGCCCTCAACCCTTCTCCCTTTCCCCTTTGTCACATTACCGTCATCATCAACACCCTCGAATCTTTTCTTTTGGTCCAAAACGAGGAATGGATTGTTATTGTATTCCCCTTTTCTATTTGTGCCGTATTGTAAGCCTATTTATAATTAAATTAAAGTTTGCTTTTGTGCTTTCGTTGTAATCCACCTACTTTCGGTAATCATTAAGCCAATAAAGTAAGACTCTATATATTACAAGAAGCAACATTAGGAGCTTCTTTAGTTGTGTCTTCAATTGTATTGGAGGATCACATTTTAGAGAAGAAAAGAGGTTAACTTCTTGGCTACAAGAAAAGTTATGGAACAAGGTCAATCACTAGATGATGGAAGAGTTTAGATTATCAAACAGTTCAAGGTTGCATTACACAATCTTTTTTGTCTTTGGGTCATACCATTGAAATATTAAGGACAAAAGAGACGACCACTTGTTAGGCGCTTTCATCACAACAAAAATAATCTTTGAAATTTTCCTATTAAACATTAGAACCAAAAAAATTCTCCAATTATTTGGCATTCATTCATTAGATTCCTTAGATGGCTAGTGTAATAAAATCCAACATAATCAAGAAGGTTAACTGGTGACCTCTTCTAAGTAGAAATTTCTTAGATCTTTTCTTTATTTGAAAAGATTTTGGAAACAAGTTTACTTTTGTCAAAGTATAGTTTTGAATTTGTTAGTCGTAAATTTTTTAGTTGGTTTCTTACATCTATCAGTCTCGCCATTATTTCGAACCAAGCAAAGTACTTACCATTAGAATCTCTCTAGCTTTATCCTGTCCATATCCATTAGCAAGCTGAAAATCTCCATGCAAATTGTTCGCATATATCACCATTTCAAATGTTGCAGCATTATCATCCCACCCTGGTTTACCATGATAGTCCGTCGTGAGCTCATTATCTTCTGAAGCCTAGGTCAGCATGATACTAGAGTTAAACAAACAACAATAAGAACATCGAATTTTCTTACGAAAATCAAATAAAAATGTACAACTACATAAAAAAATCTGAAATTGTAAGAACTGACAATACAAGCACAAGTTTGGGGGTAGATTCAGAAGTGATGGTGGTAGGCGATGGTTTGAAGGTAGCGCGGGGGTTGGAAAAGGCAGTGGACAAGCTGAAAGCAGCAAGGCGATTGTTTTCTCGGTGCCGGACAACAAGAAAACAACAAGGGGCAATGTAGGAGGGCTGTCAGGAGTGATGGCAGCAAGGATGGAGGGCTGACATGATGGCGGCAGCAAAGAGGAAGGGCTGGACAGCAACGACAGTGATGGTGGATGGCTGGAACAACAATGGCAGCAAAGAGGTAGGGCTGGACGGAGGAAACGTGCAGGAAAAACAGCCAACGAATGCGTTTCTGGGCGGCTGCAGCCAGGAGCAGCAAGGAGGGAGGTGTGACAGAGAAGCGGGAGGCATGTGAAAGGGTATAGGGAAGAGATACACACCATATGGAGACCAAGATATAGCCGATGTACCACCCAAATCCCTAGGATACAACCATTGAAGGGAAGAAGAAAAACCGCCAGCTGTCCCGATACAAAACACAAAAACTAAACTTAAAACATCAGGAATACAAATATATAATAATAGGATGGTGAAGTGTGGCCCAAGAGGACCGGCCGACTCCACAACAAGAAAAGTTTTTACAGGTTCAGTCCAGGCACAAAAACTAAGGCCTGCATGGTCACGGGAGTCCCAATCTCGGAAAGTAGTGATAGACAACACCGCACTCATGCTTCCCACCCCATAGCAGGACACGCCCGCACATAGCATTTCGTACTTAACGAGAGCTATCAAAAGCCAACTAGATATGGAGTTATACACCGATGGAGCAATGCCATACCTGCAAATAATTGCCACTCAGGAGCTTAATGTGGACCTTTGTGTCATTTCTTTCAACTATAAATGTTTCTGAAACAGTGGGTATGTCTGCTGTTGCTAATATTGCATTTCCTTTGCTGAGCGACGTTAAAAATTGGCCACCATAGCATCGAAAATGAAACATTTTTTCAGATACTCTCCATATCTAGTATAAGACAATTTATTAAAATTAGTTTTTCATTTATAAGCAGCGATCATAATATATTTGAAAGCCGAGACAAGTTTATCCATGTAAAAAAAAAATTGTTTAATAGTCTGGATGAGGGATAGATAGATGAATGGATGAATATATGTATGCATGCATGCATGCATGGATGTATTTCCTTCCTATTAAATTATATTTGAATTTTTAGTAGTAGAGATTCTAAGTGAAAGACATGCCAGACAGCATTGATCTATGATATTACATACTAGACGACAGACTAAATTTCATAAAATTTACAATGTGGAAAGGAATAATGTACGAATACAAATACAAAAAGGAAAATTTATAAAGTATTTCCTGAAAATTAAAACAATTAAATTGAATCAAATAATATGGCTGAACATCCACAAAAAAAGTTGAGGGTTGCGTTAGGTAGTCGACAGCTAGCGTAAAAATTGTAGAAAAAAATCATGACATGAGTTCTTTTGATCTTTGTGTTAGTGCTAGGGCATCTCCTGGAAGCGACGCACTGTATAGCTTGAATACAGTGAAAAGTGTGCAAGTGCTGCTACACCGGTGTCCGAGTGTAGTGTCAAATAAGCAAGGATTCCCACATTACGGATGGATGCAGGTAAAGAAATTAGTCCATAAAACTAAAACTAATGAAACTAATATTATGATAAGATCTTAGAATATAGGTACTCTTAATGATACAATAATGGAATTAGTTGATATTAGATTCATAGAAAAATTAATATCTTATGTATTCAAGAAACTAAATGGGTTAGAGAAAAGGCTATGAAGATTGATGACTTAGGTTTTAAACTTTGGTATTCTCGTAAGAGTCACACTAGAAATGGTGTATGTGTAATTATAAATAAGAGTTTGAAAGATAATGTCGTAAATTAATAGAGTTGGTGATAGAATTATAACTCTTAAAATTATCATTGATACTATAATTTTTAATATTATAAGTGCTTATGCTCCTCAAGTAGGTTTAGATATAGGATCTAAAGATAAATTTTGAAAAAGCTTAGAAGACTTAATACAAATGATTCCTCTTAAAGAAAGAATTTTTATTAGAGAATATTTAAATGGACAAGTCGGTAGAGTGGTAGAAGATTTTAGAAATATTTATGACGGCTACGATTTTGGAGTGACTAATGAAGAAGGTAAAACTATTTTAGATTTCACTTTGACATCTGATTTTGTTATTAGTAATACTTTATTCTAGAAAAGCTATCAGCATCTTATTAGTTATAATAATAAATCTAATAAAACACAAATTGATTATTTTCTTAAGAGAAGAACAGATCGACGAGATTGTAAAGATTGTAAGATCATTCCAAGTGAGGATTTAAGTATCCAACATTGTTTATTAGTTTTTGATTTTAAGATAAAGAGTTGTAAAATAAAAAATACTAGGACTCATCATCGTAGAATTAAATGAGGAAACCTAAAAAACAAATAAAATTATTTTTATGAATAAAATTCAAATTTTCAAAATTTAAGGTTTAGATATAGGATCTAAAGATAAATTTTGAAAAAGCTTAGAAGACTTAATACAAATGATTCCTCTTAAAGAAAGAATTTTTATTAGAGAATATTTAAATGGACAAGTCGGTAGAGTGGTAGAAGATTTTAGAAATATTTATGACGGCTACGATTGAGTGATTAATGAAGAAGGTAGAGCTATATTAGATTTTGCCAACATGTCCATATAAATCCTTTAGAGAGTTTAAATTTTGGAGTGATTAATGAAGAAGATAGAGCAATTTTAAATTTTGGAGAGATTTTAAATAAGGTTCTAAGGATATCCTATAGAGAGTTCTTTAGAAGAGAGGTGGTTATATGAATTATACTCAAGTCATTAAGGAAATGTATACAAGTGTCGTTACTTGTGTTTGACCTAGAAGATTAACCAAATGTTTTCCTATTTAAGTTGATTTATATCAGGGATCGGCTTGAAGTCCATTTAATTTTGTTTTAAGTATAGATGGTCTTACTGGACACTTACAGGAGAATGTACTTTGGTGTAAGCTTTTTGATGAAATATCCCTCTCATGAAGCTTGATAAAAATTTGAATTATGGAGGCCTACTTTGGAGTATAAAGGCGTTCTTTTGAGTGGAACAAAAATTGAATACATGGAATGTAATTTTAGTGTAGCAGCTCTAGTGATAGAAAAAGCTTAGAGAATTGGGAAAAATATCAAACGACCCGTAGAGAGTTTAAAAATTCTGTTTTTAATGATCTTTATAATATATTAGATACTAAGAAATGTGAAAAATATATTTATAAATTAGCCAAATAAAGAGAATAAAAGTAAACATTTAACTTAAGTAAAGTGTATTAAAGATGAAAATCAAAAAGTGTTTTTCTTAAAAAAAGATATTCAACATAGGTGGGTGAGTTATTTTGATAAACTATTTAATGAAGTTTTTGGAATATGATCGACCTTAGTGATCTTAATATCGTTAATAATAATAAATTATTTTATTTTTACCATCAAATTTGTAAAATAGAAGTTGAGAAGACTTTAAAGAAAACTAAGGTGGAAATTCTGTAGGACCTGATGATATCCCGATTGAAGTATGAAAATGTTTAGGCGATTTTGGAGTTTTTTTACTTACTAAACCCTTTAATGTTATACTCTTTAATATTATTTCAAAAACTAAAAAGATGTCTGAGGAGTGGAGGAAGAGTATTTTGGTCCTGATTTTTAAGAATAAAGGTGATGCACAAATTTGTGCAAATTATAGAGGAATTAAGTTAATGTGTTATACTTTAAAATTATGGGAGAGGATAATTAAAAATAGGTTAATACGTATTATAAAGATTTCTCATAATCAATTTGGATTTATGTCGGGCAGATCTACTATGGAAGCTATACATTTATTGAGAAATTTGATGGAGAAATTCAGAGATAATAAGGAGAATCTACATTTGATTTTTATTGATTTAGAACAAGCTTACGATAAGGTTCCAAGAGATATCCTTTGGAGAGTTATCGAGAAGAAATGTGTTGATATGACTTATGTTCAAGTCATTAATCCTATTTCTGTTGGTTTACATCAGGGATCGATTTAAGCTCATATCTTTTTTGCTTTAGTTATGGATAGTCTTAATTATAGGAGGATGTGCCTTGGTGTATGTTTTTTGCTGATGATATCCTTCTCGTGGATAAAACAAGAGAAAAAGTCCAGGAAAAACTTGAATTATGGAGGTCTACATTGGAGTCTAAAAGCCTTCATTTGAGTGGAACTAAAATTGATGAAATGGAATGCAATTTTAGTAGTAGTAGCTCTAGTGACAGAAGTGTAACTTTGGGTGATCAAATTATTAAAAGGTGTGAACGATTTAGATATCTTGGGTTATTGTTCAAAGTGATGGTGATATAGATGGGGATGTTAATAGTAGAATTCAAGTTGGTTGGTTGAAGTGGAGGAATGCTTCGGGTCTTTTGTGTGATAGAAAAGTACCGCTTAGACTGAAAAGATGGTGGTGAGACCTAGTGGTGAGACCTACAATGCTTTATGGCGTTGAATGTTGGCCTTTAAAAGAGAAGCATAATATTAAATTAAGTGTTGCCGAGATGAAAAAGATTAGGTGGATGAATGGCTTTACACATAGAAACAAAATGTGAAATGAATATATTCGTGATAGGGTTTGTGTAGCTCCTGTGATTGACAAAATTAGAGAAAATTATCTTAAATGATTTGGTCACATTAAGCGTCCACCATCTGATAATCTGATTAGGAGAGTAGATGTTTTGGATTCGACTTATGTTAAGAAATGCAGCGATACCTAGGAAGACTTTGACGTATTGTATCAAAAATGATCTTAATTTATTAGAACTTAATGAAAGTATGAAGCTAAATAGAACGCAATGGAGAAAAATAATTCATGTAGCCGACCGCACGAAGTGGGATTAAGGCTTTGTTGTTATTGTTGTTGATCCACCCAAACCAACTTACATCCTTATCTGCATGGAAAAAATAACAGCTTAGAGGCCATTGCAATCATTTTTGTATTTTGTTTTTATTTTTTTTATTTTTACTTTGTTTTGTTTATTTTTTTATTTAGGGCCCGTTTGGGGCAGCTTAAAAGTGTGACATTTTTAAAAACGCCGTCTTAATGTTTGGTTTCCGCTTTTGACGAGCGTTTAAGAGAACGGGCTTTTTATTTTATGAAGCACGCGGATCGCCGGGATATACCCGCGATCCGTGTTCGGCCTCGAGATCTTTACGTCGCTACCCCTCGCAAACATCTCGATCCCTAATCCTGTTCTCCAAAGTCGCTCCTCTCCGCTCCTGCCTCCTTTCCGCTCCTGCCTCCACAGGTAAGAAATATCTTCTCCTCGCTCCGCTCCTGCCTTCTTTCCCCCATGTCACAGAAACACATCTCGATCCATCTGTTCTTTGTGGTTAATATGGAAGTCTTTTGTGGGAGAAAACCTAGATCCAGTTCTTGGGAAGCAAGTTTTGCCGGTAATAATGTAGATTGTTCGTTCGAAATGGTTGTTGTTTCTTCTTGATTCAACATTCCTATCCTTTCTTCGAAATGACTAATGTTTCTTTTTTATTTACTGAAATTTTTGAGGGTCATGCGAGGAAAATATTTCTGTGGCTATTTAAAACAATGAATCATTGGCTGCATATGTTGAATCATAGAATAATATGAATTTTTGAATGTTTAGAGCATTTTTAGTTTATTTCCTGGAAAGCTTATAAAAAATTTGGTTGTCATATTAGCTAGTGCACAACTGATTTTGGGTTAGCATTTTTAAAACTGTCATGGTGTTAATGCAATGAATTGTTGGTTTCCATTTTTAAAACTGTCATGGTTTTATAAAACTGTCATGGTGTTAATGCAATGAATTGTGCCTTTGGGTTGTTTTTGCTAGCATTGCTTTAGAATTTCTACTCTGCTCTATGTGTTTCAAATTTCAATTGGTTTTTACTCAAATACGGTGATACTATAATAACAATGAAAAATAGAGGTTTCATATCTAATGGTTATATTAAAAGCACATTTATGTTTCACCCATAGACCAATATATATTTTAATTCATTATCTTTTTTGAATTTTTTTTTACATATGCATAGTCCATATCTTAAGTGGCTCATTTTCAGTCATAATGTCATCTAACCATCCGTTGATGTGACAGTAAAAGATGAGTAAATCTAAAGACTCTGGTTCATCGGCTATATGAGATAGAGAGGCTACTAATGCATAGTCCATACCTTAAGTGAAAAGCGCATATTTTTTTCACACATAGACTAATATATATTTTAATTCATTATGTTTTTTGAATTTTGTTTTACATATGCATATTCCATATCTTAAGTACTTCATTTTCAGTCATAATATCATCTAACCATCCGTTGATGTGATAGTAAAAGATGAGTAAATCTAAAGACTCTGGTTCATCGGCTATATGAGATAGAGATGCTACTAATATTTATTGTGATCTATACATGAGGGAGGTCGAATTGAGAAATCGACCCACAACTTTTTTTAATAAAGAAGGTTGACATAATATCACAATTAAATTCAAAGAAATAACTGGGAGAGATTCCGATAGAATGAAACTGAAAAACAAATGAGATTAATTAAAGACTAAATTCAAGGAAATAACTGGAAGGGATTACGATGGGATGAAATTAAAGAACAAATGAGACCAATTAAAGAACTGGAAACTTTGGAAAGAGCTTAAAAGAGGATCAACTGGATTTGGATGATATTCAGTAAAGCGGACAATTGATGCATCTAAGGAATGGTGGGCAGAAAAGTTAGCGGTAATAACATCACTATTTCAAGTAAACTTTAGAAACATTTTTGGAATATTGATTAGATTTTTTTTTGTTACAGATAGTGTCAGCGGCAAAAAAATTCAAATTTACTGGAATTGAACCAACTTTGGAGGAGAAGTTGGATGACATGTTTACTGGTGTTGTAGCAACAGGAACTCATTTTTCACCCCTAATGCCTAATGGGCAGGGTTTTGCAAACCTAGCAGAGAATATGAAGACCGAACATATAGGTGATTCAGGAGAAGGTTCCAGCCAAATCCACACAGATATCCAATCCACTGGTGGAACAAAACATCCCCGACCTGCAAAAAATTAAAAAGGTGCTTTGCATTTGTTAGAGGTTCTATTGAGACATTGATTGAAATCTCCAAAAATAATTCCAAAATTGCGAAGGACTGCACAATTCATGAGTGTAAATCCATGAGTGTGTTAAGATCCTTAACACATATCCCGGTATTATGGAAGATCATGATATGTATGTTAAGTATGTCAAGTTGCTAGGGAACTCTAACCGGAGGCACTTCTTTGAGACTTTGGACCAAGAATTTCGTCTTCCCTACTTGCGCTCTTTTATGAAATATTAATGTTATTTATGTAACTTCATTGACTATTTGTTTGATGAACTCGTTATGTCTTATGTGTTATTTATGTGATGGACTCGTTATATGTATAGTATTTTTTTTTCAAGAGAAGTTGGATGACATGTTTACTGGTGTTGTAGCAACAGGAACTCATTTTTCACCCCTAATGGGCAGGGTGTTGCAAACCTAGCAGAGAATATGAAGACCGAACATATAGGTGATTCAGGAGAAGGTTCCAGCCAAATCCACACAGATATCCAATCCACTGGTGGAACAAAACATCCCCGACCTGCAAAAAATTAAAAAGGTTTTGCATTTGTTAGAGATTCTATTGAGACATTGATTGAAATTTACAAAAATAATTCCAAAACTGCGAAGGACAGCACAATCCATGAGTGTGTTAAGATCCTTAACACATATCCCGGTATTATGGAAGATCATGATATGTATGTTAAGTATGTCAAGTTGCTAGGGAACTCAACCCGGAGGCACTTCTTTGAGACTTTGGACCAAGAATTTCGTCTTCCCTACTTGCGCTCTTTTATGAAATATTAATGTTATTTATGTAACTTCATTGACTATTTGTTTGATGAACTCGTTATGTCTTATGTGTTATTTATGTGATGGACTCGTTATATGTATAGTATTTTTTTTTCAAGATTGAATGTGTTAGCTACATATCGAACTTTGATGTTTAGATATACAAATATCAATGAAATGTGCGGCATGTATGTAACTTTCTCTATATTTTTAGTGCATGCAGTTAAAATTTACACGCATGTACTCTTTGTATAGTTGTCATTTTCTCTATGTTTACTAATATTACATCACTATTTTTTATCTGGTTTAAAAGTCTACCTTTCTTCCAGATTTTATATTATGGAGGAAGGATAAATTAATCAAATCCGCATTATTTCTCTCACCCTTACGTTGTTATACAAATACTACAACGCATATGTTGATCGAAACCCATGCATGAGTGTGTTAAGACCCGTTATACTTCATGTCTTCATTACTATCGTATTTAAATCGTGGGAATTTTTATCTTTCTTAAGCATTTTAACAATGACTTGAATGCATTGTTGTTGTTGGAGATTGTGAATGGTATGAAATGGCTTTAATTCAATTATATTTTATTTCTCTGCATCTCATTTTTAATTCAATTATGTTTTATTTCTTTGCTTCTCATCTAAATGCAATATAATGGCAGTCGTTCAATTGAACCTGGGCAAACATTTATGGAGTTCATGCATCGCCTGTATTGGAAGGCTATCAATTTATGGAGTTGATGCATTTCCTGTATTGGAAGGCTATCAATTTTTTTTTTCTGCATTGTCTTTATTTCCTTGCTTTGAATGATATGGATTATTATGGATTTGTTAAGCAATAAAATGGCGCATTTACATACATACCACTCAATTCTCATGAAAATAAAGTGGCATGTCATAGCCAATTTGACTTGCTTAGACATTCAAAAGTGGTTTTAAGTTGACTTGTTTCAAATTGTAAGTGTACCTGCTTGGTTTTCAGTTGATATGTCGTGGCTTCTATATGCCTTGGCTCATATGCCGTGGCTTCTACATGAAGGTGTATTTCAATTTTTAAATATAGGTGTTAGATATGTTAATAAATAAGAATCACATGGTAACCACAAAGTATGTTTGTTGTTTATATATCAAACATTGGGTGTTAGGTTTGTAAATATGCAAGAATTGTGGTAGTATGATTTCTGCTCGTCAAAGAGGAGGTTGAATATTCAAATCTGAGTGAGGGAACCCAGTATGTTTGTTGTTTAAGCTTGTTTAGAAATGGTTGGTTTACTGTTTAACCACAAAGTCATTTCTTTGATGAGGGAACCCAAGAATTGTGGTGAGGGAACCCAAGAATTGTGGTGGTAGCTTTAACATATGTTGAGATTGTTTGCATGTCAGTTGGGAGAGTTGGCAACAGCTTTAACATTAACAAGGTTATTTTACATTTGCATCATGACAACTTGCTTAGAGATTCAAAAGTGGTTTTCAGTTACTTGCTTCTAATTGTAAGTGTACCTGCTTGGTTTTCAATTGATATGTTGTGGCTTCTATATGCCTTGGCTTATATGTCGTGGCTTCTACATTAGGTGCATTTCAATTTTTAAATATAGGTGTTAGATATGTTAATACATAAGAATCACATTGTATGCATGGAAATATTGAGTTGTTTCCATACATAGCACTCGAAGCATTTTATTAGTGGGTTTATTCAGAGGAGAAAATAGCTTGTATTATGTTATTGAAAAAAAAACTTGGATTTGTGGCTGGTGAAAGATGTCAATTCAGTAAATTTTGTTTAAAATCAATGTTCTTTCTCTCAGGTTCTATTTAATTTTGTTTACATACATAGCACTTGAAGCATTCAATTTATGGATGGTGAAGGATGTCAATTCATACAAACTGCAAATGTATTTTTTGGCCTGGAAGTTGTGGCAATGGCTATTAATTGTTCAAACAGAAAATTTACATTTTAGGGCATTCCCCAATTTTTTTCAATATAGATGTTCGGGAGATAGGTTTGTTTACAGCATTACTTTCTAGGAGATCAAACATTGTCCCCTTACTTTTTATGTTTATTACTTTTATTCATATAATAGTAGAGCACCTTGGATGGCCAAAGAACTCTATTGCAACCATTGCTTCCACACTTTGGTAAGTTGAGTTTTTTTTTTTAATCCCTCTAGTTTTTGAGTGACCTACACTTTTTATAATAATTGCAGAACAATGAGCTCGAGGTATTTAAGGAAGTCAGGGCAAAAGATGTGGCGATGTGGGCCACTGTCATTGCTATTCACGTCACAGCAGAAACATAGCTACGGGAGGCAATTCTACAGGTGCCCGCGGTGGGGACAAGGACCGGACGATTGCAAATTCTTCCAGTGGGTCGACAGTAGAACTATTTCTATGATATCCCAATTGGACACAGCTGCTAGGAGTTTAATAGTACCACAACGGGAGAA